GCACGGACGGACGGACAGACGGACAGACATCCGGATTTCAACTCTACTCGTCACCCTGATCATTTTGGTATATATAACCCTATATCTGACTCTTTTAGTTTTTGGACTTACAAACAACCGTTATGTGAACAAAACTGTAATACTCTCTAAAAAAATTTGAATACAGTTTAAAGAAATTATTTGTACTTATTTGTAGGCAATCATAAAATATCTTATTTTAAATCAGTCATTAAACGAGGCTGTAAATGGAGGAAGACTGCATCACCAATTAGCTCCAATGCAAGTAGAAATTGAGCCTGAAGTATCACAATCATTATATGCATATCTCAGTAAGGTGGGTCACATTATAAATGTATCATCAGATTCGGGATTTGCTGCTGTGACTGCAATAGGTGTTCGTGACGGCGTTCCAGAACCATTTTTCGATCGACGACGTGTTGGAAGTACATCCACGGTGTCGCTTAAAAACAAAATGGTACATTAAAAATTATTATCAATGTTCGGAGTAATTACTTAAAGGTCAATGTGCTAATGGATCGAAACTTATACAAACTGGTTAACGTCTGTTATACAAGTTTGTTTTAAAAGTTTGTTCATGCAATAATTGTGATATTAATATACTTACGTTAGGTATTGAATGGAGAAGTATTAACTACTGTAGTTTCAACTATTTAATCAAATAAGAAATAAAATTAAAATTGGTAAACTTATTCGGTCAAATAAAAAGTTTCTGTTTTAATACCATATATATATAAATGCCTATGCTAGCAATTATTTGTAATTTGCAAATATACCATATATCTATATGGATATTATAWCGTTATTGCTATATATTGTTATTATATAGAGAGCATGGAGAAAAAATACATACAAACATTCTAGAACCGAAATATTCTATGGTTATAAATTGGGCGGAAAATGGTCCTTGGGGTGGCGTTGGTCGTTTTGGCAAATAAGTTTTCACAAAAAGTTAGCAATTTTCATCCCGTTTTTGACTAATTAAAAATACCTTACAATTTTTTGTAGGGAGAGAATTTGTGCAATATTACCTGTGAAAATTTCAATAATGAAATGTACACTACATTGTGACAAAAATACACCCGCAAATTGCATTTAAATTCCCCGGGTTAATTATATTTCAAAAAAACCTATTTTGTTGAGTTGGTAGGACTGTTCTAATTACTATGCCAGATTTTGTTTACAGAAGCTGCTTAAGTCGATACACCTCAGTAATGCGTTGCGATTTTTACAACGGATAAAAATTTCAAACAAAGATTGTCTAAAATTTTGTATTTCTAACCAAATTTCGTGTGCGGAACGCCCGAAATCTCTTGCGAGCCCATTCAAATGATTTGGTGGAATAGATAAAACAATATACGCTTAAGGAGCTGAAGGCTATCCCAAAAAATGCTTATGAAAAGTGTTTCGAAAACTACGAATATCGTTATCATAAGTGCGTTATATCTGATGGGAATTACTTTTAAGATGACAAAGTAATTATTGATGACTAATTAAATATTTTGCGTTTTATTTACAATTCCCGGGTACTTTTTTGTCAATATGTAAATTTCATAAACTTTTCCGGTGATAAGTAAAATATATCTATGATATACATATGTCAATTTGCAAATACCAATTAAACACGAGAAAATAAACACAATAATAAAAGATATTCTACCAAGGCAATTTTTGACCGTCATATTGATAGAAACCGCCATTATTCATCTCGTTAAATTTTAAGAGAATTTCTATGATCATCCTTGAACTAGTGCTCACATCAAGCGGTGCATTATCGCCCCCCATGTCAGTACGTACCCAACCGGGATGTAAACATACACAAAGGATTCCGTCTTTAAGGAGGTCGATACTCATTGATTTCGTCGCTGCATTTAAAGCAGCCTACAAAAGAAACATTAAAATTTATAAAGTATTCAATTACATAAGTATATTGTATATGTTTGCTTTGTGCTATTATATAAGTATTTTACCTTCGAAGTGCGATATGCGTAAATGGCACCATCTGTATTGGCTTCAATGGAGCCAAGAATCGAACTCATGTTTATAATAGCGGCCCGCCTAACACCCATTCCAATGTTTTTGCTAGTTATTGAAGCCCGTTTTAAGAGTGGAAGACAAGCCTAAAAATATGCCAAATTTATTATCGGTGAATGTGCTATCAGAGCAGAGATTGTTAATAAATACATAACCAGAGAATGTCAATTAATTATTAACATTCTATGATAATAACCTTCACAAATACTATAAATTTTCCTTATAAGAACAGTGATCGGACGGTATTCATGACAACAATATATGCTAGAGTGACTCGATCTGAAAAATATACAGACAGACGGACATGGGTAAATCGCCTAGCTCGTCATGCTGATAATTTACATTTACCCATGTCCGTCTGTCTATGTCTATATATTTTATAGATTCTCTGACAGCTGCAAAGGCTCACAACTACTAATTTTGCTTTAAAATCTATACAAAAACACTTTATATTACCGATACTTACTGGCTTCAAGTAATTGAAAGTGTTATTATTAAGTGTTATTATTAATATGTACCTTCGATAGCATAATTGGTACAACAGTATTCGTGTGTAAAGCCTGCATCAACTCCTCTAATTTAACTGTGGTGATACGAGTAGATTTGGGAGCAAAGCCAGCATTATTGAATAAGACATTCAATCCGTCATCTTTCACTACTTCACTAATTCGACTTATTAGGGTTCCATAATTATTAAAATTGAGCAAATCTGCAACAAGACAGAAACTGGTTTTACAACTATTATAACACAATCTTACATAACCTTCTCGACACCTTGAGTACGCGTCAATGTATTACAGAGAGAAGAAATACAAATTTTAACCATCGGTAAGCGCTTTACTGTTTTTCAAAATATTCTCTATTATGATTTACACACTTTTGCATGCCTTTTGAACACAGCAACCGCTTCTGTAGGTATCGAAAAACATTGGTCTCTTAGCTTATTTTTTGGCGAAGGGTAATAAAAAAATGGCATTCGGTGTCACGTCAGGACTATACGGAGGATCACTTATCAAATCGATGTTATAAGTTGTCAAAAATGAAGTTGTTTACGCGTAATACCCGTAAATCCACGGTACAACACCTGTCACGATGTCATAGACGTGTCTCGAAACACCGCTATTGTATTTTTTATAACATTTCTCTCGACCAATGTGACAAATTGTGTAGATTTACCGTGAACAAATTTCTTTTCTCAATCTCACGATAGCTCACATGACGATCTTGCAATTTTAGTTTGCACCCTTCCGGAACTCGTATTGGTGTGATCTATCACCCGGATTCACTATACTATCGATAAACACTGATGGAGCAGAGAATGTATAAATAACCAGAGAATGTATAAATAATGTATGTTTCTCTGGGTCATGTTACCAGATCCCGAAATATAGAAGGCAATCTACGTAGTGACATCTGGTATAAAATTAGGGGCAAAAATTAAGAGATGTTGCATTTTCACACTGATGATTTTACTTAAGCACCCGAAATTATAGAGTTTTTCTACGTTCTAGTTTTTTTGTGTTTTTCATATTTCCTCTAAATCGTTCATCCTAAATTTCTAAAGATGTGTGTCGTGGTTGTTGCGATAGGTGAAAAAGGGCAACTTCCGATAGAATTTGAAAATCTTATATTCTTTTGATATGTTAGTATTGGAAGCAAAGGCAAATTATAAGAACGACATTTAACCCAATCACTTCCATTTATCAATGAATCGTGGAGAGCTTGTATACTTTATCACTTGTCAAAACATGCATACATACATAAATCGAAGCGTCAATATTCAATATTCATAATTAAATTTAATTGGATAAATTCTAAAATAGATACGTTACCGATCTCCAAAATATGAATTGATGAGTGACTGGCGGCTAAGTCCTTTAGTTCCTAGAAAGGATACATCAAATTTAGATATTATAAGATTAATATGAAAAGACTTTTTGAACATAAAACTGTTTTATACAAATACATATTAAAAATATTAGGAAGTTCTAAGATGTTAATGTGCATCTGATTAATATATGTATGTATATTCTCTTAATTTGCACACGTCTATAAAAAATTCAAATAAAGAATTAAGGAAGGGTTAAGTTCGGGTGTAACCTGAAATTGACATTTCTCCTCTTTTTTCAGGTGTTGAACAAATTTTATATCAGGCATACATATAAGGACAGCCAAAGATCGTGTATAACCGAACTTGGATAGTTTGAAATCATATTTGGAGTCTTATTAATATATACAATATGAAGATAACTCACACACTGATCACATGTATTAGTGCTTGAGTAATTTGTACACCGAGTATGGTACAACCAATATTTATACATATTACTTTACTAAGATAACTAACATATCGACTGATTTATTTGGTATAAAGCAAATCGGAAGTTTCAGGGTCTTACATAAGGTATATGGTTAAGAGTAATACTGACCGATACCTCATAGCCAATCGAATGTTGTATGAAAATCTTTATATTGGGTATATGGGAACTGGGAGAAGTATTTTTTAGATTCAAGGACACACTCCTCTGAATTGCATTAAGATAACTTACATATTGGCCGATATATGCGGCGTTAGGTCAACCCGAAATTCGAAAATCTTGATATTACGTATGTAGGGGAAATATGGCTAGATTTTGCCAATTTTTTTTACTCAACGGCGCCCCTCAAGAACTTCTTCTAACTTTAATAGTAGATTTCAATATTTATTTTATGTTACAATTTTGACAATGGACTAAAATCGGTATAAACCGTATAAGTGTAGTTTTGTGGTAGAAAAGTATGCGGTTGTTATCCGATTTCATTTGTTATCACACTATATTATGAAATGATAGAGAGAAATTTTTGATATACCTGTAGCAGTTTGTGAAATATATGTATTAAACAAAATATTGTGACACAGAGTCACACCCACTTAGCACTGCTTATAAATTACAGATAGCCTTTCTCACTCATCTTTAGTAAAATTTTTGTTTAAATTTTCTAGCTAATGGCTTAGTTATGACACTCTATATATATACAGACACATATACACATCTAGATGTGTATAAGAGACAGGTTTTTAATCAAGTTATCGCTTGTACGTCATAATGACGATACGCATATCAATTTTGTCTTTGTCTTTTGTCACGTACCGATTTTATATATTTTTGGATTAACAAGCACGTATCAGCCTATATCATTTAGTTTTAGGTGGTACAAAGAACACTTTCACATGTAACTTTTAAAACTGTGTACAATTATGAATGCGAATTAATTTTGAAACTAAAATTTATTTTATAGTATATTTTCAGTCAAGCCTAAGAGTGGGGATGTTTTGAAGTATATATGAGTGAAAAATGTGCGCTAGTTGATATAGATTTATTATTTGTTGTAAAATAGTGTATTAGCAACTGCCAAAGGTCCGTTTCCTGGTTTTAACATTTTCAGATGGTATATATGTATAACAATTGTTGATTGTAATCGATAATAATCGCAAAATGTACACTTCTAACTCAATTGTGTGCGGTAGGATGTGGATATCCACTCCTAATAGTAATTTCAATATGCTGTTGTCAAATAACGAGAGTCAAATACTCTCGCCATTATGAATACATAATAAGGGCCCTGGTTTCTGGCTTAATTATTGCATCTTGTAATTTTTCACTTCATGACATAATACCATCCCCCAGAGTGCAAAAGAACAGGTGTCCTAAGTGCAATTTTTACCTCAAGTTATCGCTATCACGAACATACTGTTAATTACAGTTTTTTCCATTTTCAATATTTAAAATGTTGTTGCATTAAAATCAGATATGCTAAAAACTAAGTGAAGTTAGGTAACTTTAAAAAGGCTAGGCCTGATTAGTTTGCAATTTCGACAATTAATGAAATATCTCGATACTCTTAAAATAATAGTGGTATCAGCTATCATTTCTTTTACGGAATACAGTTCCAGATCCCATAATTTTTGGTAAATTTTATGTGATAGATTAAACCTCCAAATAAGACTATTTGGCAAACTAAGTTTTAATTAAATTTAAAGAGTCCTCTATTAAGAAATAAAAAAAATATTTTTTATACTGACGAAAAAGTTATCTGTTGGTATTAAATACATTCTTGCTTCTGACTTCTTGGTTAAATATTGAATATCTATTATGTATATATAATTCATCTATAAAAGATTAACAAGTGAATTAACATGGCACAAAACTTTAGATTTTCATTTAACTGACGTCAATACAATATTATTTGAATAATTAAAGAAATATGCGAATATATCAAATATTTAACACTTTCTGCCTTTATGTCACAATTTTAATTAAAACTTTTTTAGTAAGTATGAACAGTAAACAAAAAGTTATCCAATTTTAAGTGAACGAGTCTTAAGTTTAACTTTCATTCTAAATACGTTTAATAAAAAATATTTCGTACCAAAACGTTATGCCTACCAACCAAACCACCGAAAGCAAAGAAAACTACATATTTTGGTCCGATTGGACCAAAACGGCAACGCTAAATTGAATGGAAAATTGGAATTGTATCAAACGGAAAGATGAGCATAAAAGCGAAGTAAAATTGGAAGAGAGTTTTATTTCAACTAGAAATTTGAAGAGTTTAGATATAGTTTTTGTTTGATCCCACTAATTAAGTGATCATTTATTACCTGACATTATTTCATTTTTTTAAATATTATAGATAGCTTGAAGTGGCTTCAAATTGCTGTTGGAGTGATTTTCGTGATTTTAAGCTTATTAGCAGTGCAGAAATTAAAAGTGTGTAGCATAATGGCGCCTATAAACAGTATGTACCGTATAATACAAATTTACTAATAATTAAAAAAATAATTAGCGTATGATAAAAAATATATGTGTATCTTACCGTAGCTTTGTCGAAATCTCTGCACGTTGCAAAAATATGTTTAGGGGGCTGTGGTAATTTCACAAGTGTCTTTACAATACCAAGGCCCAATCCACGATTGCAGCCAGTAATTAGTATAGAATTCATTTGAGTTTTTCAATTGATTATTACTGTAAATATCAACTGGTATTTTATTTCAATGCGCAATTATAGCTCACTACTGGAATTACGAAAATTTCAAAGAATTGTGAGTTTTTTAAGCAAAATGTTCGTGTGCTAATGGAAGAGGTCTTCGAGAGGTCGGAATCATGAAAGTCATTTTGCTGTCGGCAAATTGACTTGTTTTTACATTAAATTCCAGTGGAATGCTATATTCCATGCAGTATTCCATGAATGTCAATGAAATGTCAATTATCCAATGGTTAATTTTTAATAAATCTGCTCTTTAGTTCTTGTTTTTAATATAAAATACGGCGCATCTTTGTAGATTTATATTAGTTTAATATAGCGTAAAGAACTTTTCAATGTTTATAAGTTATAGTACAAAAGTTTTATTATCAGTTGCACGTTCAAGGACCCAATTACCGAACAATGTGACATTCTACAAATTTAACTCGGAATATTTTTTAAGAAGAATGATTACATATATATCATCAGTAAAAAAGCGTAAGCAGTAATGGCAGATACTAATAGGTTACTGGAATTAATAAAATGACGTTACTTATATTATATTTGTATGTATGTATGTATATAAATGGAAGTTGTAAAGTGCTGAGTCATTTAGTCTATTTCACAATAATTTTATAGCATTAGTTAGAATGCATATTTTGATTATATTTGAGCAAAAATGTACTATATATACAATTGCACGTATTTATTTAAAAAAAAGTGTATGAAAACCATTAAATATCCCCAGCTTGATTGCACACAGTTGATTTCCCTCCTAATTAGTTATAAATATATATGTGTTATTGAAAAAAATTATCTTTAATTTAACACGGTTAATTGCACAAACAAGAGAAAGAAAATGATCCTCCAGGCCACTGTCAGTTGTGCAATTTTCAGAGGGATACTGTAATTTGCAAACATCTGATGTTTTATTACTTATGTACATATGTATATACATTCGTGAACTTAACAAGGGTTACAGCGAGGTTAGATTGGTTTCTAAATACTTTACTTTTCCTAAAGTTCTTATCCTCGACCGACATATACATATAAAAAATATACCATTATTTATAGATGAATATGACTACGACTTGGTTGTGATTGGAGGCGGGTCGGGAGGACTAGCCTGTGCAAAGGAAGCGGTGGCTTTGGGGGCAAGGGTTGCGTGCTTAGACTATGTTAAACCGTCACCAGCGGGTTCTAAATGGGGTCTGGGAGGAACTTGTGTGAATGTTGGATGTATTCCTAAGAAACTTATGCATCAAGCAGCTCATTTGGGTGAAGCTGTACATGTAAGTTTATCTAATATGCTCTAAAAACTTTATAAAAATATTTTGCTCACAGGAATCTGTGGCATATGGCTGGCAAATTCCAGAGCCAGAGAAGATATCATCAAATTGGAATAAATTAGTTCAAGCTGTCCAAAATCATATAAAATCTGTAAACTGGGTTACCCGTGTTGACTTACGAGATAAGTAAGTAGAATTTCAATATATAGTTAATAGAATATAAAGTAAGAATTGATTTTATAGAAAAGTGGAGTATATTAATGGCTTAGGTTACTTCAAAGATCCTCATACTGTAATAGCTAAGATGAAAAATGGAACAGAACGGTCCATAACTGCACAGAATGTGTTAATCGCGGTAGGTGGACGTCCAAAATATTCACCAATACCTGGGGCTGTAGAGTATGGTATCACTAGTGATGATATCTTTAGTTTAGATCGTGAGCCAGGAAAGACGCTTGTTATTGGCGCTGGGTGTATGTATTGGTTACAAACCTGTTCAACTAATCAAAAAATTACAACTCTTTCATATCTTCCAGATATAGGATTAGAATGCGCCGGTTTCCTTAAAGGCTTGGGATACGACGCTACAGTTATGGTGCGTTCTGTTGTTTTACGAGAATTCGATCAACAAATGGCGGGCATTATAAAAGACTCCATGGTTGAGCGTGGGATTAAATTTTTGTTTACCACATTGCCAAATTCTATCGAGAAGCAAAATGATGGTCGTTTAAAAGTTAAATGGACCAACTCCAATACAGGCGAAGAAGGATCAGATGTCTTTGACACAGTACTTTTTGCTATCGGTCGCAAAGGTTTAGTTGAGGACCTTAATTTAGGGGCGGCTGGTGTGGAAGTAAAAAATGATAAAATTCTAGCCAACGATGCAGAACAAACAAATGTTCCACATATCTATGCGGTTGGTGATATTTTACAAGGCAAATTAGAACTAACACCAGTAGCTATACATGCCGGCCGTTTACTGGCCCGTCGACTTTTCTCAGGATCAACACAGTTGATGGACTATGCCAATGTGGCTACAACTGTGTTCACTCCATTGGAATATTCTTGTGTTGGTTTGTCAGAGGAAGTGGCATTACAAAAATATGGTGAAGATAATATAGAAGTTTTCCATGGTTTCTACAAACCAACAGAGTTTTTCATACCTCAAAAAAGCGTTCGCTATTGTTATCTTAAAGCTATTGCTGAAAGAAGCGGCGATCAAAAAGTACTGGGATTGCATTACGTTGGACCAGTAGCAGGAGAAGTTATGCAAGGATTTGCCGCTGCAGTAAAGTAAGATTTTTTTGTATTATGGTAATCATATGTGGTTTTATAAAATTTGTGTTTGCAGAGCTGGCCTCACAATGAAAATTTTATTAAACACTGTCGGAATTCACCCAACTACTGCAGAAGAATTCACCCGGCTTTCCATTACCAAGCGATCTGGTCTGGATCCTACACCTGCAACTTGTTGCAGTTAAACGGAACGATTTATAGCAATATAATTTTAGGCAATGTCTAACATATTCTAAAAGAAAACAATAAATTTATTAATGTACTTAAATACTGTTTTTATTAAAAAAAGTAAAATATCTTATTGCAAATCCATTGAACTTTTTTACGTACGAACGAATAAAAGAACCTTCAAGACCTGACAAACATGTAAAGTTAGATATCGCCTAAACAGCAGCCGTCTCTTGGTCACCTTGTGTTAACAAATACACACATCCACTATTTTTTAACTAACTTGCAAGATTTAGTGTATCCGGATGTGCAGACTTCAACTGTATCAGCGAATCAACACAACGCATCCAAAGTCGGTTATACTTCATCAAAGGTGATAGACTCAGTAGATAACAAGAAAAAACGGTAGCTTCGGCATACCCTTCACAGGTGCATTTTTTTCAGTAACTATGTGTTCAGTTTATATGGAAGCTATACGCTATAGTAATTCGATGTGAACAATTTTTCCGGAGATTATATTATCACCTTAAGCAGTAATCCATGTGAAATTTCAGTAACTATATGTTCAGTTTATATGGAAGCTATACGCTATAGTAATTCGATGTGAACAATTTTTCCGGAGATTATATTATCACCTTAAGCAGTAATGTGAAATTTCATGATTCCGGTCATAAAGTTTGTATGGCAGCTATATGCTATAGTTAACCGATCTGAACAATTTCTTCTGGATTACATTTTTGTTAAAAAAAAAAAAAATCTATACCGAATTTCGTGAATATATTTTGTCAAATACAAAAGTTTTCCATACAGAACTTTTTTCCGATCGTTTAGTTTGTATGGCAGCTACATGCTATAGTAAGCCGATCTGACCAATTTCTTCGGAGATTACATTTTTGCCTTAGAAAATAATCTGTGCCAACTTTTGTGAAGATACATTGTCAAATATGAAAGCTTTCCATAAAAGAAATTGATTCCGATCGTTCAGTTTGTATGGCAGTTATATGTTATAGTGGTCCAATATCGGCAGTTCCGACATATGTGCAGCTTATTGAAGAGAAAATGACGTTTGCAAAATTTCAAAACGAGGGACTAGTTCGTATATATACAGACAGACGGACGGACGGACAGGCAGACAGACGGACATGGCAATATCGACTCAGCTCAACATACTGATCATTTATATATATACTTTATGGGGTCTCCCACGCTTCCTTCTGGATGTTACAAACTTCGTGACAAACAGGGTATATGCTCAGGGTATAAAAAAGATTTCCTAATACCATAACGTTCCTCATTTTCCTTTGTTTTTCGACTAGATTCGTATAACTATTAAATCCATTTTTATCTAGAAAAGACTCAGGTTTAATTCCATCATGCCTACGACGGCAATTGTTAAGAACAAAATACTAATATTAACGAATAATAATAGCTATTTTAAAAATAATTCCGTATAACACACTTCATGTAATTTTACCGTCCCACCATCAAAATCAACCTCACTAATTGTGCTAAAGAAGCCGAGGTCGAAAGCTCGACATTTCCACCACAATTATTCTCTCGCTCTGGGACCATACTACCGCGATCAGCTACAGGAGCCTGTCGAAGTACTAAATTTCTAACTAGTAAAAACTTATTGGAGGAAATTTTCAACCAAATATAAACAGAAATCCGTTCCCAAAACAGTCGGGTTTTAGCAACCGGAACGGCAATTACTTCAGGAATGTTTTCTGCCGCTACAACAACAACGGAAATCCGATATGGGATGGATCAGATGGGACTTGTAAGTCAGGACCGGCCGTCCATATAGGGGACTTATGTAATTGCCTAGAGCGGTTGAGTTTTAGCTATTTTTCTTTACATATTTTAGTTATTTGTTTACTTTTTTATTTAAATCTCAAAATTTTCTGTTATAAAAATCTTTTTGTGTTCTCCAACTCTTAACATGAATTCAGTTGTGTTTGATTTTTAATTGAAGACACATAATTATAATTATTTTTAAATAATTATGTTAAATGTTGGAATATGAGTGTTTTTGTTTTATAATGAATAATTTTCAAATATTAACTAATTGAACTACGGGCGTGTCACCGTCTGCTACACCGCGAAATCACATATCTAGGTACCCGTCCAACCGATTTCAACCAAATTTGTGACGAGAAATTATTCTCATTCCTATGACACATTGCCCTCCTTTCCAGTGTACAAATCATGAAGCAATTAAAATAATTGGATAAAACTTTGCACGAATGATACCTTTAACGTATGCTACCTTATGACCCTAAATTGTCCAAATCGAATCAGAAATGTTCAAGCTCCTAGGACCAAGTATTTGTGTCCGGTGGCCGTGTGTCCGTGTGTCAAAAATTGGTTGAATCGCGTCAATACTTCCCATATACCTAATACAAATATTTTTGAGCTT